AATAACATCGAGAAAACAAAATTACAACGTGCTCATAGCCCCAGAAAACAAACTTGAATTTCACGCACGCAAATATATTACGCACCATTTGCGTTCCGAAACAAAATGTTTTAATTATAGTTGCAGCTTGCGGGGGCTCCTTTACGAGAAATTCTCTCCTCTTGCGGCGAGGGACGGGGGCGGGGGCCGGAGCAGCCTGCCGCAATATCACGGGGGCGCCACTGCCGCGTTGCGTTGCGTTGCGCCGCGCCGCGCCGCCCCCTCCCCCCGCGCTATCACTTAGCGAAATCGCCCGGCACGGGTCGGCGGCGAGGGCCCGCGCTGCGCCTTAACGGGCGCGTTTAGCGGTCGCGTTACATTCAAATGCGATGCAAATCACAGTCGCCTTTTCAACTTTCCACCTTGTAGCTTCCGAGCGAGTACTTGGAAAAAGGCAAAGTGGTCGCGGTAGAACGTCTTTTAATTATTTCGGCGCCTGCCATCCCGCCTTTCCCCGCGTTCACGGCAGGAAATAACGGTCCCGGAGGCCGTGGCGACGGCTGACACAAGGTCTTGTTGGAAATGACCCGACGGTTCCAATGTCGCTTATAAAAACGCTCGAGGGCGGAGGCAGGAAATAGAGCGAAATATTCTTGGAACGCTACGAGGACAGAAACGTGCACTGCGAAAATGTGTTTTCCTCCGCTGTTACTTTCCAAATGCGAAGCTTAATTGGTTTACGAAGGTTTCTCCTGCCGCTCTAACGTGGAGAAAGGCCACTAAGAGCCGACATAAGTCTGTTAAAGAATTCTATGAGACAACGGCGCAACAAACGTAGCTGCTAACAAACTCCCAATTGCCTTGAAAGTAATGCAGCTTTTCTGCAATTATCTAGTAGCTAACAAAATAAAAAGTCCCAAAACAAATTATTTAAATATATCTTTACATTTTCAACAATTGTTTTTCCCTTAGTGAAATAAACGAGCCATCCTTAAAAGTCTTGCTTCCAACATGATTCACTCTTCAAAGTTACATCGCGCATAGTATTCGTTTTGAATTTTTACCGGACGTGAGTCGCTTCCTGCACAAAAGTGGTAAGTGTGAACGTCTGAAGTTCATTTCCCGACGCGATTACACTGAACTCTAGCTAATGCGGCTCTCATCCGGCCTGTAGTGGCTCAAGTCGCTATAACGCGCGCAACTAATTGTCTTGTGCAACAATGTTTTAACGTTGTCAGTTAAATAAGTTAAATAATGCTATACAAATTTTAAATTACGACTTTTCTTTACAGTACTCTGTTCAGTGCTAGGGCTTACAAAAGGAAACACGTTAACGGTTAACCTGAAGCAGAAACTTCAAATTTTAGATAAGTTGAACCGAGGTTCTTCGCGGAAAACCACAATGTTGGACGAGCAACAAATTTTCTATGTAAATAAAATGTACAATATCTTTAGATTTAATTAAGTACAGTATAGAATAATTTTACCTAGTGGAGTGGCTCAGGGCGCAGCGCGCTGACTTCGCATTCGGGAGGCTCGGGTTCAATCCCTATGCCGGCCATCCTAATCGGGGTTTTCGTGGTTTCCCTCGGTCATCCAGGAATACTGGAACGGTTCTACTGAAAGGCCACGGCAGCGAAATCTGCGTCGCTAGACGAATTCGTTGACTACGCGGAGTCATGAAGGTTAAACGAATTCGAGACATTGCGGGTTCCTGGTTAGGTGACTGTCTGGGAACCCTGGGATCTAAACGCGCTGAGGCCAATTGCCATTTACGAGACGTGTATGTGATGAATAAAAAAATAAAATATAAAAAAAACAGAACAATTTCAAACCCTTTCAATAGCCCGGCACTTCCGTTAATTCGTCATTGAATGACCAGATTAGCGAGCGTCTCGTGTAGTTTGTAACACACGGAGAGAATATTGCCTGTTATGCTCAAAACGCACATTGCTACATTATTTATAATTCGCTAAGAATGAGGGTAGGGGTGCAAGGAAACCTGCCCAGATGGTACTTCTCTTATACACGTGATGTACAGTTTTTAACAGTTCTTGATATTGAATACTTACATAATTTCTTCTAAACCTAAAAATCAATGAAAATAATGTATGAAGAATTATATTAATGTAATAAACATCAACCTATTAAAACTTGTAATATTAACTTTCTATAATTTCACTGTCTTTTTCGCTTTTACTTACAAAAAAGTTTAACTCGCTTGTAAAAGTGTGAGAAATTTGTCCACACACGTACATAAACTAAGTATTTTCCCAACATTTCCATGGGGATCATATCTCCCGTTTCCCAACGTTTCCAAAATGAATAAACAACACGGGTAGGGCACGCGGAGCGTCCATCTAGAACGTGCTATTGAATGCCTTTCAACGAAAAACGAGCCGAAATATGAAATAAAAGTGAACATGAACATTTGATATCGCGTCGCGCGCAACAAACGGCCTTCGCCTGCACCCTCGCGGGAGGGGCGCGGCGCCAACGCGATTGGAGAATTTATATAACAATAACACTCACGCAAACGGGGAATCTTGTAAAGCGCTTTTTACGAGCGATCCATTGGTAATTTTGTGCCGCCGCCGCCGCCGCCACCGCCGCGGGGCCCCTAGGCGGGGCCGCCCCCACCCCCGCACCCCCGCCGCGTCGCGCGTCACACAGTGGGATGAAGCGACACCTGTCGTGCGCACGTGGCAGGGGTGGCCAACAACCGGTGCGTTGCTTGCTTGCCATGAGAGAGAACCGGCGCCTCCGAATTCCAGTCGGATATCTCCTGGAAGGCATTACCGTCCGTCCATGCACTGACCCTTTACCAGGAGGTTCTAGGGTTTGAGGTCGGACGATGGCGGAGTTTTGACACTAGCTAAATAGGTAGATGGAATTCATTTGCCTGGAGGAGAACTCTAGCGGCCAGCTGCTCCGACCCAAAACAGACGAAAGCCGGTGCAGCATTCTAACGAGCGAGCCACGGACCGCGCGTGACTTTTCCTTCCTCTTGCTTGTCCTATCCTAAGCCCTTACTTACACTCTCATTCATACACGCACTACTGCACATGTGAAGATACAAGTTGGAAGCTCAGAGTCGCTGAAGGTGCCCCGCAGGTCAACGCCGGATCTCACCTTACCTCAGCGAGGGGAAGAACACCACCCCCGCCGAGATTAAAAAGCAGGAAACTTACGGGAATATTCATCATAGTAGATGATAAAATCAACCCATCCAATCTGACCTCGCTCTCAGAGTGTTTTCTCACTCAGAGCTCGATCTTACTCAATGCATCTAATAAGTTGAGATCCAAAATTATATTGCACCAAATGAGCTTCTCTGCCACTTGCATCACCATTAACGGGATCCTGTTCCTAATCCTATTTCGAAACTCCAATCATTAGCAAAAGAAGGTGAAAGGGAGCTTGCGATCAATGGCGTATCTGAACTCGTATGTACAAAAAAAGTCGCATTTTGTGACGTCTATGTGAACATTAGAATCAACAAAAAATAGGGACCAGAAACGAATTAGAAGTAAAAAAATATTAAAGTTCCTCGCCATCTATTTATTTCCATTTTTGAGTTTTATTTCATGACAAGAGCGTACGAATGTCTCTTTTAGCATAATTTTCTCTTCACACACAAGCAGTATCGTGTATTCTTAACAGCAGAATTTTTCATGCCCCATCTCGTGAAATTACTGTGTACTTTTTATCTCTCACAAACTGACTTCATATATATGAATTATATTATCAACAATTAAGTACAATTTAAATTCAAATGCACTACATTGTTTATCTACAATAAGCAGGTCTATGTGTATCAGTCTTTTTTTCTTTTTTGCACATCCATCTAGAAGAATTTACGTATTTTGAAGCCACGCCCGCTGTGAAGTATTTTTTTTTCCAATGCGCCCTCTCCGGGCTCTTTCGGCCCAGTGCGTGTGGCCCTTTCACTTCGCCCCGCCCCGCCCGCCCCGGCCCCGCCCCCCGCCCCCGCCGCCACGCCGCCGCCCGCGCCGCTGCCACCGCCCGACAATTTATCGCCGCGCCGTCCATGCAGTTGCGCCGGCCCAGCCCGCCCGCGCGACGCTCTCGTTTGTTCCGCGCGCCGCAGCTTCTATTTCACACCTGATGGCGAAGGCCACCGCCCGGCGCCGCCGCCAAAAAGTAATCGCGCGCGAGCCGGGCGCAGCTGCGCGGAGCGGCGCCGCTGTGGGAGCGTGGCGTCCGGAACCCAACGCAACCCAAGGAACAACGGGACGAAAGTTGCCGATACACGTAGCAACCGTACGTACCGGAAAGAAAATTGGAAAGCCCAAAAACCTTATTGGTTTGTTTCATGCCGTTCTGTATTTGTTTTCTACCAAACTAAAGAATGATCATGAATGAGATTTTAGAAATTCTGGGAACAATCAGCTTATATACTATATATATATATATAATATATATATATATATATATATATACCGAAACTTAATTGAACTGTTTCATATTGAACATGATTAGTACATTAGAAGGGGACTACAGCAGGGTATTCTGTTATCCACCTTAACTTCAAAACATAATGCATCACGTTGAGACATCACCAATATCTTTCCACTTAAAAACAATTTTCGAACTCAAAAAGCTCTTTGTCTTCGTTTCTCTTACTATAACCGCACGAAACGTGGACTGTTTTTGATAAGATTAATTGCAACTCGAGAGCGTAGGCTTCCGTGGTCGGAATCGGTATTACTTGGCTGTCCGGGAGACACCGCATCCTAGCCACAGGTACCAACGTTGCGGCCGCCATTCTGTGACATTATTCCGCATTTCGACCTGAGGAAGGTCGCAGAATTGCGGCCAAAACGTTGGCACCTGTGGCTAGAACGCGGGGTCTCCCGGATAGCCAAGTAAATACTAATTGCAACTCGCTCAACAAAATGGCCGAGACCAACTACATTCCAAATACACGATGTAATTGGTGTTGAAAACAATGTAATGGCAAACGACGGCAGATTAGCGTTCATTATATTAATTTAATATTATTCTGATTTAGTGTTTAAACTATAAACATCAATAAAATAAAAAAAAAATTACGAAATTTGGTTGAATAGAAATAATGTTTTTGCGAAAGAAAGTCCTTAGTGTTGCGAGAGGAGTGAGGACTGATTATTTTGTCGACAGGACTATTATATCTAATATGTAACTCGTTTTGAAATTCAAAATACTTTCGCTTACACGGGAGCAAACATTTGTGGTTATCAAACGTCAACAACTATCGTTGGTACCATTTATTCTGGATTCAACTGTGGTAAGTAAAGGGAGTGAGGTAGGAAGTTTCGGAGCTCAACCAAACGTGCGCGTATAAAAGTTTATTTCGTGTTTTAAGGTACGCCAGGTGCAGTATCATTGTCTACAGGCGCATGTTGAAGTCGGGAGGTGGCGGTGTTCCTCTCACGCTTGAACGTGAGATCCGACGCCAACTTCCAAGTTCACGGTTTGCGTACTTCCTCTCTCCAGGTATCTCCTTCTGGGCACCGCCCCAATCGACGCAAGACCCAAGCTCCCGACCGGTTTCTAGACATGTGTGTATGGGAAGAGGTGGAGGAAGACATGAGCAAGAAAGAATCAACCTATTTGTTACTATATGTGTGTACTGCTGCGGCTTCGATGCTGCGCAGGCAACAGTCACGATGCCCCTGACGGTGTAAAGGGGACCAAAGGCCGGGATCAACGGAGAAGCGTGGCTTGTTAAGTCTCGATACGCTCCTCGTGCCTGCGGATGACCACCTTCAGGGAGCCTGGTTGCATCCAACGATCCGTTTAGAACTTGCTCTGATGCGTTCTAGAAGAACACCGAATCAGCAACTCAAGGATAGAAGGAAATCCTTCTACCATATCCTATTCTTTCCCTAAATATTGGAACGGACTGATAACCATCTAAAGTTCATCATGATAAATTATATATGTCTGTCAGTACTGGGTGAACAAATCAAGGACATTATATTGCTTTTCAAATAAAAATAATTTTATAACATATCTAAACGACAGTTGATTTTAATGGGCATAAGAAATAAATTATTTTTCTACTCAACAGTGAAATTTATGGCAACTATATCGATTTCAGACGATTGTGGACCATTAATTTCTTTTCCGACTCATTCGCTATAAGTGAAGCTAGTTGTGGTTCATTATGCAACGTAATTTAAGTAATTATCACGTGTTACCTGTTGTATATTGGAAATCATATTATATACGTGAATAATTGTTACAAAGTCTTTTTCTCTAATAAAATTTCCTGAAATAAAGGCCCAGGTAAAGATCTTGGTGGACGGCACCAATCATGAATTTGATTCATTGGTAATTCCTGGCGCGTCAATGGCAACAGCCCGTAAGTCCCGTAAGTGTAGCACATGTTTTCATCGCGAGTGGCGGTGATCTTCCCCCGCCAGACGTCTATATCCGGTACCCAACTATCCGTCGACTAGCGGGCTTTTTATTAATCACGTATTCCCGTCATCTGGGCACCGGCCGAGCCACGAAAAGCTCCAAGCTCCCGACGGGTCTCGCGGCATATATGGTAATTTAATGCACGTTAGTGTAAGTGTAAGTAGGGTTTAGGACTCGAAAATGAAGAGGAAAGAAAGTTCAGGTGTTGATCGGAGAAACCACGTAAAACTACCGATCAGAGCGGCCAGCTCATGTTATTGAGCGAGTCGGAATTGAAAACAAAAGAGAAGGCGAATGTTTATATATAACCAAAAAGCTAGGTAAAGAGATTTCGACTTCCGTAACGATTTCAATGCCAACAGTTCCTAATCAGCAGCACAATATTTTTTTTCATAGTTTTTATGTGTCAAATTAGTGGATGCAACTCTAATAGAACTCTATAGCATGATTAACTGATAATTACGTGGGAAATATCTGGGTGGTTTACTCGCCACAATTCCGTAAGTTGCACTAATTTTGAGTATTAACAATTCTATATATTTTACGCACCAGAGCTTCTATGAAGCACGTATCTCATCCATTGCATTTCACAAAGATTTTAAAACCTAGTTTGGAGGTATATTAATGTAATAAGTCAAGCCTTAAACACATTATTTCGGATAAGGGCATTTCATCAAAAACCAAAATCACTCATCAAAAAATGTACACATTACCAATGCTTTTTTCTTTTACTTTTATTCGTACCTTCACTAAAGGCAAACATAACATTAATAAAGAATTCAATATTAAATAATGCAGTTAAATGTACAAGTCAATGATATCGTACTTTGGATATATTCTACAGTATGTTTGTAATAATTTGCCATTGTATTTTACGCATTTGGCTTTTTGCGGAAAACTATCACACGCAGTTTTTAGGGGCATGCATTTGTAACACGCATAGAGTGTGCTCTCGTGCATTACAGCCCGAAGATAAATTCACAATTCAGCAGCGTCTAAGAGGAAAACGTCGCGCATTCGTGTAAATCAGCGCGCGAGGCGGAGGCCCTTCGCGCCAGGCGAAGAATTTGCATACTCGCGAGCGGCGCCGCCTCGCCGTTGAGCCGGCGCCAAGGCGGAGGCGGGGACGGGGCGTGGCCGGGGCGAGCGACTAAGTGCAATATTATATCGCGTGGCGGCTAAGGGCGCTTGCACGCGCTCGCGCCGGCAGATAAGTGCGGGCGGATTCCTGCGGCCCGGAGGAGCGGATGGGCGCGGCGGGGCCGGGGGGCGGGGGCGGTGCGAGCGATACGTGTGCGTGCGCTCCAGCGCTCCGCCCTGCCCGCCCAGCTCTCGCGCAGATTGTTGCGGCCAAGTTTTCAGCCCCCGATACTTTAATCAAAAGTTGCTTGTGTACTTTGGACACACGCTGACCTGATACTGAGTGCAACTGGGCGGGGGGGTGGGGGGCCCGGGGGGCGGGGCCGGAGGGCGCTTCTGGAGCCCCCCCCTCGCGAGAGCCGAGACGCGCCGCTCTGCCGCTGCGCAGCGCGTGGTCAACAGCCCGAGCTCCGCTCACAGTCATCAGATGCGACACGCGGTCTGGCGCTTACAACGCCCATGCCACACCTCTGAACACCGGGATTCTATTCCCGACGATACTCGAGGAATTTCAACAGATTTTACTGCAGATTTTCTAGGGGTTTTCTTTAACTCTTATTTATATATTTATCGAAATTATTATATGACTCGCATATTAATTAATATATTATTGACATATTGGCGACTAATATAATTATATCATTGCAAATGTCAACGATAACTCACAACAATACCAATAATCTATATTTAACATAAAAATAGTTAAAAACTGACGTAATCACGTGCGACCTGCGGACTAGCCCATCCTCCACCTCTGGGTTTCGGGATCCAAATCTCGAATGATACATGTGGAATTTCAACGGGGTATACAGCAGGTTTTTTTCGGTGTTTTCCTTGTATCTAATTTTACAATTACTTCAGCGTCATTTAAATCATATAATTATCACCAATAACCCATAAATCGAACCATTTGTCGCCGATTTAACTGAAAAAGAGTAGAAATTAAGATAATTTTTGAGTCATCAGTTGAACAATCAGGTAAACGGGAATACACATCTTTAAATGTCAAAAAACGATCAGAATTTATGCCTATTTATTTGTCGAGACGCATTTGCGTACGATGGGGAAGAAATTGGAAGGTTGCACTGGCCAAAAGATATGTCTCTGAAGAGACGGAGGAAAGACACGAAGTGATGTTGAGGAATCTGTCATGCAATTGTCTTAAACTGCTTCAAGGAATCAATGTAAACAACAAAGTGCATCCGGTGACTCGATATCTTCCCCAAAACAACAGTGGGCACTGAGAACTCGGTCAAAGAATCTGAGGGGTGGAAAGCAGATACGACTCTCTTTTACGCAGAAAATTGTTTGATCTTAATATCGAAACTCAAAATTGTGACATTTGGTCTTGAGTCACATTTCAACGCAGAAAAAGCTTCACTTATTCCTCACTTTTGATTCGCGAATCATGCCAATAGCGTGAGTTGACGAGGATTTTGATTTGACGTTGGTAACATGACAAAATGCTTCAGACGCAATATGACTCTCACTGCTTCCAACGTTTACTACATTATTCCACTGATGGCTAAAAACTTCCATCAATTTCTAAGACTATTTAGTAATTCCTGAGATGATGGTTCGGCAGACGAATAAACAGACTATACTTCTCCTTTCACCAATCACAGTATTTACTGTCTCTTGAAATTAAACCAAACCAAACCAATTCAAATCAAATCTCGCCCCCACGCGTAGAAAATGAGCCATCGACGGACACTTCCGAGAGAGCGCAGTGATGCATTGACCCGGGTCCTTTCCAGCCCTTTAGCAAACCGCCTTTCAGAGGCCATTCTGGACGCGAACGTCTGCTCCACCCAGCGGAGAGACATTCCTGAGCAGCTGATGGCAACGAGACAACAGAACTCGCTAGCGGGAGCTACGCTCACTGGTTGCCCCCGCGCGGTACACATTATGGGAACGGAGGCGATAAATTGGAAAGTGAATGTACATTACAAAAAATAATTATTTCAAGACCTTTAATATTACTACCATTAGTGAAGCACTTGGTAGGTTTTCCACGGATTCGCAAAAGATGCTTAAAAATTACACAGTTTGGGAAAAGCATCAAGCCAATCCTACCGCACAAAACCAAACATACCTGGAGATGATGCATTTCGTTATAGGATACTACATACGAGTACACAGTAATGAGAAAGTTATGTAATGCTGCAGCGAAACAAGGCGTTTCCAGCAGAAACGTTGGTATTACGGGACCCTGATGCCGAAAAAGTGGATAATTCGTATTTCTAAGTGTAGTAGATTACTTCCTCTAAAACGTTGTGTTGTCAGAATCCACATTTTGTCGACCTTGACACACGCCCTCCGTCCGTCTAACGTCCAACGGTAGTGGTTTGCATAAATGAGCGAGCATGATTTTCACAAAAATTGATTCTCTCCAATTGATTGAGCTAATGCCGCGGCCCTTCAATTTGGAGTAGATATTTTGATTGTTTAGGTACTTTACCCGAAGCCTCATTGACCTTTTCATCCCCCCCCCAAAAATGCTACACATTTTTCGATTAACCTTTTTATTGGATAAAGCAAAGTATGTTTATTTAATTGGCAAACACGATACTTTTGTCGAATACTCTAAATTTTAAAACAATAACAAAATTTGAAACCTTTTCCGACAACTTTTTGCAACTACAAAGTTGAAGACAAAAATTTGAACATAGAGGATTTTTTTCTAAATTTAGCAACTGGATTTATCCAATTTTTCGTTACCAGAGCCCTGTAATAAGAGTGTTTCTGCCGAAAATACCTTTCTCTTTACTCCGTAGTAAGAAAGTAAAAATTGAAACTTAAGTTCGCCATCTTGTACTCTCTTCCCCTAATTTTGAATCAAACGCATATTTTCTAACTCCACCATCAATGAAGAGGTCAGGAGTAGAACTTTTGAACTCACAAAATAAATTTATGTCGACAGGCTGCAGCAACTTTTCATTACTGACTGCAAACCCACGGAGTTTCAATATTTTATTTTGATACGAACTGTCGTGCGTTTAGAAATCGTTATGTAGTTTTATCCCCAAGCAGTATAAATACTTAAGGGAAATTTTTCTCGTAACTAATGAAGAATGAGTTAACATTTGCTTGCCATGACCTCTGCAATTATTGTCAGAAAATATACGTGAATGAATGTTTTGAATTTTCACAATGGTATATCCTAAATGATACATCGATAGTATACTCTTAAGCGCATTGACTAGCCTCTTGTGTAAATTAACGAAAGTAAAAGGGCCTAAAAGCACAAAATATTTTAACGGAATGTTTTTAAGAAACCAATATGTTTTTATAATATTAAAAGTAAATTATAATATTTTAGACACGAATAATATATTTCAACTCCTATTCTACGCAAATATTAATAATATTGATGAATATTATTTATAATACTGATAATTTCTTAATTTACTATTTCTGTGTATTAACAGATAGATGTCTAATGGTTTTGAAGAAAAAATATATTTTCCTCACCTTTTGGTACGGGAAATTGATAAAGAAGTACTCGTATCATCATATCGTCCATTTTTAACCGGCAGTGACACAATGCATTTCATCGCATTGCAGGCATTACACATAACGAGAGCGAATCAACAGAAAATATCGTATGTAACCCTTGTTCCAGTCTGTGTGACTCGAAAATTTATTTTCAATATTACCGATGATAAAAAAAAGATCCTTGTATCTGCCTATTTATAGAGTAAAATATTCTGATACAATAATATATAAAGTTAATATTATCTTAATTTATTCAATATTATTAGTACTTTAATGATTTGTTTTAATATGAGCAAAAATAAATTGCTGGTAATTTGCAAAATTTCACTACAAAATACAACATAAATTATATACCATTGTAGAAATCACGACCATTGTTGAATTATAAAATTTGTTCACGGGATTGGTCAGTGTGGGTATTTAATTACATCAATATTTAATTTCTTCATAGAGTTTTTTTTATAGATAATAGAGTATTATTTCTTATAAGACTATTCTCTAGCCTTGATAAAGAAATTAAATATTTCGAAACATTCGAAACTAATTGTTTCTTTACCCACACTGACTAATAACCAATTGTATTATTCAACAATGGTTGTGATTTCTACAATGGTGTAGAATTTATGTAGTATTTTGTAGTGAAATGTTACAAATTGCCAGCAATTTATTTTTGCTCATTTTTGCTTAAAGCCAGAGTATTATCTAGTCCTGATGAAGAAATTAAATATTTCGAAACGTTGGCACAACTAAATGTTTCTTTACCCACACTGACTAATCATTTGAAACAATTTTATTATTCAACAATGGGCGTGATTTCTACAATGGCAAAAAATTTATGTAGTATTTTGTAGTGAAATTTTGCAAATCACCAGCAATTTATTTTTCTCAAGGCTAGAGTAAACTCTAGTCCTGATGAAGAATTTAAACATTTCAAAACGTTGGCACAACTTATTGTTTCTTTACCCACACTGACCAATCCCGTGAACCAATTTTATAAATTATATATTTTTTTTGTATTATCTATATTGAAACTTCTGCACATAAGAGTAGTGTGCAAATTCTGTAGCTATTGTTGAAATTTGTCATTTTCTACTATTATTGAAATTTATTATTTCGTATGATACTTGCAAAAATCCATAAATTTACTATAATGGGAGACTTGGCTAGGTCCATACAAATCTTTGTGTGTGTTGTCAATCAAACAATTTATCTAAGACCATAAATCAAAAAAGAGCTGATCATGTTGTACACAGAATGAATGACTGATGATTCACTTTTGTATTGCAAAAGGAGTCAACTGTAAGTTGATGCTTCATTTTATTTAAGTCTAAATGAAAATCTGTTTTTTTATGGCAGAGGTACTACATTATTTTGACTTGATGAAACACACTAAAGTGCTACATTTCTTTCATTTCTTCAAAATAGTTTTCAGCAAATAATATGGTGAAAAATATACTTTGAGCACTACCCATTGCACGTAGTGTGGCACTATGTATAAAAAAGAAACTATCTGTTCCATTTTTAGTTGCAAAGTATGCAGAAACTTACTAAAGTTATTAGTACATGCACAATGCTAATTATAGTACAATAAAAAATCCGAATAGAAATGCACTTATACGATTATTCATCAACATAATAAAAAATGCCAAAAAAACTATGAAAATAATTTTTTCCGGGATAAGTAGATGAACCCCAATTCTATAGTAATTGAATTTATATATACTTTGTAATTATCATTAAGGAAAGTACTCTGTCATAATATTATTGAAATTAAGTACCTTCGTTGATAAACAAACAAGTGTGAATTACTGTTATGTCAATGTCTGGCGACTAGATACCTTTATCTGAAAGTGCATGAGCAAACTATACGCTCGAATTGCAATGGGTAAAGTGGCGAGTTTCATTTCTCGAACGACTCACCGCATCAGCGGAAAACCGGTATGGGCTCCAGAGATCCAGGATCGTTCCACTTGTACTCACCTGCAAACAAAGAAGCCCGGTGAAAATACACACATCATCATATTACATCGCTCCAAAAACAATAACTGTATATTACAACGTACGTTGGAAATGAGATATAAACGGAGATGTTCATTCACTTTGTTTTCAAAAATGGTAAAGCAGTATAAAAAGTAAATAATAAAACCGAGGAGAGTTAGGTTTTTCACAAAGCACACATAACAGTTCAAAAATAAACCTCAAACAAGTCCTTCCCTGGCACAAAATATTGTGCTTGTTGTCATCTTCTCTCGGAGCGCTCCCTTTTCTATTACTCATGGGAAACAAAAGAATGTAGTGCAAAACAGACCACGGCGCAAAACAATACAAAACAAACAAACAACAGAATAAAAGCTCTGTATCAGAAGGAAGGGTTTGGAGGGGCGAAGCGTGACATAAATATCACAGGGAGCAGCTCACTCATCGATATATCGAACGCGTGCTCTCGATGTCGGCAGCAGCTCGCGACGGCGCAGTGGTGGAGGATGGAGCGGCTGGCGGGGCGAGGAGAAGGGCGGGATGGTGAGGGTGGAGGAGGTGGTGGCTGGGGCTGGGGGTGACGCGGTGGCGGGAGTCGCTCCCAATATGTAAGTTGCAGGTTGGAAAGGGAGGGGGAGGGGGGAGGGGGGAGCGGCCCGGCTGCCGACCACAAGCCACCAACAGCCGCGCCGTGCCGTCGAACTAATTTGCAACTGTCCGCGGGTCTGCGGCGGCAGCGCGTCGCATGGTGGGACAACGAGCATGTGGGTAAGGTGGCGGGCAGGGGGTGGGGGCGGTGGGGGCGGTTGGGGGCGAGTCGTGCGGACGGTCCAGTCGGGCAGTGGGCGGTTCGAGTGGATGGCCGAGGGCGAGGGCGTACTCGCGGGGCTGGCTTATACTGACCGCGCGCGGCCGTCAGCGGCCTGTCAAGCTGCACGCCCCGCGTCCCTCGCCCGCCAGTCCCGTCCTATGCTCCATGGGCCCCGCCCGCGCCCCTCGCCCCGCGGAGCTCTCACCGATGAAAAATACTCGCTCCAACGTGCATGAAAAGGCCACAGCATATCTCATATCACCTGCAGCTCGCCCTTAATATGAGGGAACGCACCGGTTTTCGATTTGTGCTCCGGGAACGGAACTGTTAAACTCGGCCGCTCAACGCTACAAAAGCGCAGAGCGGCCCCCACTCGGAAGAAACGCGCCTAATGGGAGCTGTAGAAAAACACATACGAATCAGCGCAAACAATGTGGGCGGAGATAATTGAAAGAGCGCTCGTGCGTGCCTGCGCGGGGCAGGATTGCATAGGTGGGTTGGCGGCGCGGCCGGCCGCCTCCGAGATGACCCGGCTGCGCCAGGACGGCGGGAGGAGGCGGAAAGGCAGAGCGGCGAGTTGCCCAACTTAGGGGAGACCGCAACTTTCTCAATTAGACGGCCCTCTGCATCGGCGCGGAGGGAGGGTTTGGGGCGGGAGCGGAGAAATGGCAGAGTGGGGAATGGCAGAGCCGGGGAATGGCAGAGGCGGGGAACTAGGCAGAGGCGGGGAATGGCAGAGCGGGATGGCAGAGCGGCGGCATGGCAGAGCACGGGGAATTGGCAAGAGCGGGGAATGGACAAGAGCGGGGAATGGCAGAGCGAGAGGATGGCATAGAGCGGGGAATGGCAGAGGCGGGAATGGCAGAGCGGGGAATGGCAGAGCGGGGGAATTGGCAGAAGCGGGGAATGGCAGAGCGGAGGAAACGGCAAGAAGACGAGGAAAGGCAGAGAATGAAAAGAGCGGACGGGGAAGGCGGAGCGGGGCGGGAAATGGGGAGTGGCCTGGCGGGCGGGGAGGGTCGGGTCGGGTCGTGCGAGGACAAGGGGATGGTCCCTGTGCGGAGGCAGGTTATTGGGGGAACGGGGAGGGGCGGGGCGGGCCGGGCCCGCGGGACGTGCGCACTGGCGGGGACGCGGGCGGGGCGGACGGGGACGGGGGGGGCAGCGGGGAGGGGCGGGACAGAGAGGGGCGGGCGGGGACAGAATGAAGTCGAAGCTGTAAGAGAAAGCAAAAAAAAAAAAAAAAAGGGCGAAAAAAGAGGAATGTAGAAGAAGCCCAAAAAAAAAACAACTCACAACATAAAGGGGCGGCCGGGAGACAGGGCGGAGGCGGAGCGGGGCGAGGGCCGAAGCGGCGAGGGCCGCGGGTCAGGGGGACCGGGGGACGAGGGACCAAGGAGACGGGAAGAGCGGGTTTGGGTGGGTGGTGTGGCGAGGGATGGCGGAAGAGGACAAAGGAGAGGGAACGAGCAGCAAGCGACGTGGTGTGACGTGGCGAAGAAGGACAGGGAGGGGAACGAAGCGAAAGCGACACGTGGTGGCGGCGAGAGGAATGGGCGGCGGAGGCCGAGAAGTAGGGACCCACGAAGCCAGATGGTGCTCTTCGAAAGGGAAAGCAGAAACTGGGCGTGCTAAAGAGTGTCATTGTCACTGAGAGAAGGCCGTGCCAATCCAGTCAAAAGTTAGACTCAATCGGGATTAGATGACTTTTTAGAATACGAGATTTCCAACCGACATCAGCGTGCCACTGTTTTGGGGCCCAACATGGACACCGTTGTGGGCTCCGTAAGGTTTTGGGTCACTGTCGTTTACTAG